AATGTAAGGGCTTTAAGACACAGAAATCCAATAAAAATCTCAGAGAAACAGCTAGAATAAATGAGTTGCAACTATCAAATTATGAGTGATATATTCCTTTCTGAGAAGGGCACTTCCATTAGGTTTAGAAAGAGGTATGAGGGTGAGGAAACAAAACTATTGATTCAAAGAGAAAAAGTTTGACCAAACCCAGTATTAGACAATTAATAAACGAAATAGCTTTGTGATGCAAACCAAATAATATAACTGTAGATGAAATACTTATATTATCATATCATCAATTTGCAAGCTTCCTGCTATAAATTTTTTTAAAAAACAAATATTTTCATGTACTGTAGAAGAGACTTAAATGATCTTCAAGAAAATTTATCTTTTTCTAAGAGGGATCATGTATATGTCAATGCATAGGGAACTCAAAAAAATTATATTTTTATAATTCTCTATTTTTTAATTTCTTTTGTACTAGGATCCATCAATATGTTTTGTTCAAAAAGATTAGGAGTGAATATTGTAAACCTATAAGGGGAAAGACTATACAAAATAAAGGTTTGGCAAGAAATAGCACACCTGGTACTATTTTCTTGTTACTCAAGCAGAGGGGTGAGTGAGAACTGAAGATACGAGCACAGAATAAATAGTATTTGTATATGTGTGTGAATCATCTATATTTGTACTGGGCCACTTTTATGGAAGACAACTGTTTTCATGGATCACAGTAGGCAAGGATGGGTTTGGATAATTCAAACACACATTTATTTTGCACCGTATTTCTATTATTATTGCATTTATTATATAATGACATAGTTATACAACTCACCCTCACCACAATGCAGAATCGGTTGGATCCCTGCGATTGTTTTCTTGCCACTAGGTGGGCCCATCTGATGGTGGTGGGAGATGGTGACAACTGAAACGTGTTGCTTATATGCAGTCTACTCTATAATCTATAATCTCATTTTGGTGTAGTCACTGCAGGACACCCTCCTCCACAGAATTAAGGAGTAGGCCTTCCATTGCCTTTGTGGCAGTCTCAGGATAGTTTGCCTTGATTTTTAATCCAGAAAATATGAAATTTGTAGTTGTTTTATCCATACTTAGAAGGTCACTGTCATTTGTGATCTTAAGCAGTTGATCCTCATCTAGCACAGACACAACGATTCACCTGCCTTGTTCACAAATGGGTCAGGAATTCATTCCTTCCAGTGGGGTGATCTTTTGTGGTCACAAAATAATGCTCAAACTGTTTCTGAAAGATGAAATAGGCAACCGTGTACCAGCTGGGAGAAAAAAGGCCCTGGTTCAGTGTCTTTCAAATTTCTTCTGAGACTTGAAAAGTAAAAAATCCCAATGTTTACTCATCTCTGCATAATTCTAGTTTGGTTTTTCAATCAGTTGCTCTATCTGCTGACTTGAAAATAGTTATCTGTTGTGCTGAAGAGACAGATTAATTTTGTTGAACAGGTTGAATATGCTACATGAATAAGCAATTTTGTGACCCATTTTGTGTCACTAAAATGTGCTGTCAGTGGTGACTTTTTTCCTAAAAGAAATCTTTCGAATGGCTCTTGTAATTCAAAAACTCTGCCCAGTGATCTATGTTTAGAAACACTTCTCAATTCTGTGTGTAAGAGAAGACTTATGTGATCTGTTTCCATCTTCCCACAGGGCTGTGAGTTAAGATGTTAAGGGCTTGTCCTTTAATATAACAGTTAATTTTAATCACATCCCACAGAACGTTGTTAAGTTCAAGGGACGATTTTTGGTTAGCCAACATGTTTTTACAGATGACACAGTGCATACATTCATATTCAGAAGTGACCTGCTTGCCTTGAGTAACAAAGCCAGAAAGTCATACAGCCACTCCATCCATATACCTATTGACAAAAAAATGAGCAATTCAGCTTTCATGACAATGGAATTACACAAAGATTTGAATAATTCTTCACTGACAGTGTTGGTTGGCAACAAAGTGCACATAACATATATTCACGCACATCCTCTTGAATAAAATATATTGCACAAAAGCATGGTTGCTTTGTTGTCAACATTGGTAGGTTCTTCAGCTTGGTTTGTGTGCTAGGGCAACTCATTAATTATTTCTAACATTTGTGCCTCAAATATCCTCTGCTATTTCATCAATTTGCTATTAATGGTGTTAGACAAAAGAACACATGCCATATTTTGAACTGCATTATCTCCTAAAATTTAGGAAAAATATTCTGTGGTGCAGGCAGGATCAACTCCTCACCAGTAATAAAGGTCATCTTATATTTAGCAATGCTGTTGGTGGAGAATGGTACTTTTAGTACAGACACATTTCGTGAAATGGTGGCCTTCAGTGATTGTTTCTCTTCTTCATATTCACTTATTTTTTAAACTCCAAAGTCTTGTGTTTTAATGCAGGATATTTAGTTTCCACGTGGCACAACACTTTTGAAGTTTCCATGGCTTCATTGGATAACTGTCGACCATATATATATAAGGGCAGTTTTGTGAATGTGAATCACCCATTGTAATGAGGTCATAGTTTGAGTAGGACTCTTGGTACTTTCTTTTAAATAAAGATTTCTTTTCTTGGCAGTCTTAGAGTCTGCTGTCTCATCATTGTTTTTCTCCCTTTCAAAGTGATATTTGGTTTTTATTAAATTTGGCTAGGCTTGTATCTAGGTGACCTTCAAAGCCTCATGCACTTATAGGGAGCTTTTGTATAACTGGATCATGGGTGTGTGATACTGAATCATGGATGTGTGATACTGGATTTGTCCACTGACTGATTTAGCAGAATTCTGGGTGTGGCTGAATAGATTTGCTGAAGATAGAAGTTCTACACTGGGTGTGAGTAGCACCAAACAATAGGCTTGTAGAATGCAAGATAGAATACAAAGGGAAAGAAAGGAAGACTGCACTTCCTGCCTACCACGCCATGGGCTACTTCTCCTCTGCAATGCCCCTCTACCATGCTGCCCTGCCTTGGAGCCAGCCCGCTATGGACTGAAAAATCCACAAACTGTGAGCTAAAGTAAACATTTCCTGCTTTAATTTGTGAATATTGAGTATTTTGTCTCAACAATGAGAAAATAACTAAGACACTTACAAAAGCTGACTTAGACAAGTGTACAGTGTGAGAAACAGCCACAAAAGGAGATGAAAAATAAAATAGTGGAGAGGCCATGTGTCAACTAAAATGTGTTGGATTCTGACACAAAGCTTTGCACCAATTATACAGTTATAAAACTGACGTACTATCCTATTAACTCACTTGCCAGTAAAGCCTGCTACAAGGTATAGCTTAAGTGTCACATGCCACTCATTGATAGGATTTTGTGATAAGTTTTTAAGAAACTTATCTGTTGTCTCTGTGTAATCAAATCTCTCTGAAAATGTTCATCTGAATTTGCTGCTGTTCCTTAGCCCCGGCATTGCTGCCTCAGTTTCTCCTTAAGTCATCAGGCATTAGATTCTCATAAGGGATTTATAAAAGATGTGCAACCTAGATTCCTCATGTGCACAGTTCACAGTGGGATCTGCTTTATGAGAATCCAGTGCTCCACTGATCTGACAGGAGGCAGAGCTCAGACAGTGACACAAGCTATGGAGGGGGCAGTAGATACAAATACACCTTTGCTTGCTGATTTGCTGCTCATCTCCTGCTGTGTGGACCAGTTACTAACACTCCATGAAATTTACTAGGCTTTCATCCAGGGGTTGGGGCCCCTGTTATAAATTACTTTTATAACTTCATTTTAGCGTTCTCAATTGACCATATAAAAACAGGGTTGAGTGATATAAGAAGAAGATAGTTTCAAGCCAGGGCCACTGAAGTGCATAGGTTCTAATATCTGCTCCTCTGTTCTTATAGCTTCATGACTTTGAAAAATACCTAATGTCTGTTAAAGTGTAGAGTTGTAAAGTGGGAAACAGACTAGAAGCTCATAAGCTGTCGTGAAGGATAAATATAGTATACATGCAAAATAAAAATGACTAACTGCAAACATTCAGGACATTTAAAATATTATCAGCTTATATTCAGGATAAAGGGATTGTGGCTCAAAGAAATGTATTAATTTACTAACAATCATATAATTAACTAATGTATGCACCTAAAATAAACTTGGGATTTTCAGATTTCTGCTTTAAGGAGTTCCTTACTTACTATAATTATCTGCATTTTGGAAAAGACAGTAAAAATCTTTATTCGCTAATTTTCAAATTATGAATTTGTCTATACTATACTACCAAACGTGGAGATAAAAGAGATGTATTCCTTGTGCTCCTCCATGGTATTGTATTTCTATTTCTCTTGTCTTTCTGGTCTAATGAAACCTTTAATTTTCTAGCATTCTTGGTAACTGGCCATGGGAGTTGTTTTGATTAGTGCCCCTAGAGTGGAAGGAATGTATGTGTTTAAGAGCTGGCTTTTGAGTCTCGGGGCTTCATTTCTCTGCCACATAAATTGTGGATGCACCTTGAGGTCAAGTGCTACAAAACGGAGACTGCCTGCATCCCTCCACCTGTCCATGGAGGCCAGCTGCTGTGGAGAATCACCAGATTTTTTGCAGGCTTCAGGAATATGTTCAGATCATTGCTCTCTAAGCCAGAAATGAACTTCAACTGGGTTAAGATGGTGAAATTTGAACGTAGTCATATGGCGAACTATTTCTGTGGGTGTATGCCAGATTACTGTCTGGTACTAAGCTATTTTCCTCTTTCACATTCATATTCTAAAGGGTGCTTCATCTATTTCATCAGCTAAGAATCAATGCATATGTTTATAAAACATACAGTTTTATTTGTATGTGCTTTTATTTTCTTTACATGCATTGCATCATCTCTACTGATTTATTTCTTAATTTTTCATAACATATTTTAGGTTGTTTCTGCTTCTGGAGCTTACGTTATTGATGCATTTTGTTTGGAGCTTAAAGATACAGCATACATTCGCTCTTCTAATGGCCACTTTAGTAAGATGTGGTCTTATGTGTCTCCTAGGGACCCCCGGAAGAACGAGTCCACTGTACCTACATGGGGGATTCTTGGCTTATCTGCAGCGTGATATACTGGACTACTTTGGTGAGCCCTGGTGCCTTCCTTCTCTCTGCTTCCCGGCTACCCTGGTTGAGCACCCGTATCCGCCACGCCCTTCCATCAAGTATTCCTACCTCGGCAACAGGCCATGGACCAAAAGTTTCCAAAATTCTAAGCTGACATAAAGTTCTTCTTTAAATTCTGTGTGTCAGGTACTTTGTCTCGGAGATAGGAAAGCCAAATAACAGAAATCTAACGTTTTATTGTGTTTTCTGAAATAATTTTTGTAGGTGAAGCATTTTTTTCATTTTAAAAGGTACAGTGCGATATAATTTTCCCACAGTTCTAATTATTTTTCTTTTAAAATTATATAAAAATAAAAATGAAATTCTTTCTTTTGCTCCAAACCAAAAAGGATGTTAACATGTAAATTAAAATATTCCACTTTTAAAGTTCAATTTTCTCTTGTAGAGCCGGGCATGGTGGAGCACACCTGTAATCCCTGCACTCGGGAGGCTGAGGCAGGAGTATTGTTGTGAGTTCGAGACCAGCCTGGGCTACATAGTGAGTTCCAGTTCAGTCTCAACTATCTGGTGAGACCATGTCTCAAAAAAAATATAACAAAACAATTTTCTCTTGTCTTCTATTTTTCCCTTACAAGGTGAGCTCCTTTGAGTTCTTATTTTTTCCTGTATTGCTGTTATATTATATTAATTACAATTACTGGCCACTCCTGACAGTATTCTCAAATTCCTTCTTCTTTTTATTCAAAGCAATCTAATGACAACCTCTATCCAATGCCCTGTCCCATTCTGTCATGCTAAGTTTATGGTTTTCTGAACCATTCTTCATCCTGTATGTATTGTGGTGCCTTTGCTCTCTTCCATACCCAAATCTCACTCACGTTACCTTATTTAGTAATTTCTCTATCCTCTAATTTCATTTTGGTACCATTTTTATCTGGTTACATAGAGCCCTGAAGCTGTCATCTTAAAATGCCTTTGTCATGCTTTCGTTATGCTTTTATTTGTGTGTCTTTACTGATAGAGACTTACAGATTTTGTCAAAAAGATGCCATGATTTTTTCCTTTATCTCTCAATGTAGCCTCATGTTCTATTGCATTGCCTCACATAACATTTGTTTCCAATAAGTGTTGGTTGAGTGAATCAAGAGTAACTTGATACCTAGTGGAGTATAGCAAATGTCAAAAAAGGCCTTTTGGTTTGCATTTTATTCAAATATCTCTTCTCTTTCTTATTGAAAAGTCATTCATTATGAATTTCTTTCCAGAAATGTGGAAATCACATTTAGAAGCAGCATATTCCAAATAGAGTGACAGAGAGCTCATTAATCAAAGTCTCTTCTGAAACACACTCGTATACACACATGCCATGCAGAAGCTTTTTGTAACTAACTTTCTGCATAAATCTTAAGAGATTATTGATTTGTTTTTACAATCCCTCTGGTGTGTTACATTTACTTTTTTTTTTTTAAGGAAAGTAAAAATTACACATAGCCATGTAGTATTATATAGATCTTTCTCTTTAAAAGCACTGTATCCTAATATTCTAAGTACAATTCTCATCAACACAGTTAAAGAAATTAAGAACCGCTGGAAAATACATAAAGTGAAAGGAGACTTGAGTGTCTGAGTTGTGAGGGTGATGTAAACATTTTTATAGCCCTGTCTCTTTGAAGGTACATCTATAAATGGTGTATTTCTGGAATTGTTTCAGATGAAAAGAATGACTTAGCAATTTTAGAAAGAGTGCTTTTATGCTCAGAGTAACATGACACCTAATTTGATCATATGGAGTATGCAACGCTCAAAGGCATATCATCCTCCTAAGAATGCTTACGTTTCAGTCTCCTAGGAAAAGGGTAGTAAAGAACTGAGCAGATATTTTTTTCTCTGATATCAAGAAATACTTTCCCAGCATTCAAAGAAATTTTATTGAAAAAATTAATTGGACTAAAGCACAACCTACCCTAAAGTATGTAGATTGACAAGAGTGGCAGACAAACCAGGAGGTGACTTTCTATATACCATCCACTGGAATTTAGCATTTAAAAATTCTTAGACAATCAGAAGTAGAGAAGTTGATGGTTCTTGAAGGAGAGGGGGATCAAGAGATGGAGCTAAGAGGAAGGAAGGTAGGGGAGGGATAAAAGGTAAAAATAAAGGAATGGGATGTGTTCTGTACTTGTAGCAACCACACACGTAAAAATGTAAACATTCGGTAACTGCAAACGTATAAAAAAGTGAAGAGGATCAGAGTATCAAATTGTAGACTCTACAATTTTGATGACTGTTATAATTAAATTTTGAGAATTTTAAAAAAATAAATGATCCTAGAAATAAAAACTATTAGGGATGAGCTTGACAATCTCTTCTCATAGAGATTAAATACTTTCAGTAATAAAGTTCTTGTGTATCTTACTCTGCAAATCTAGTTTTAATATGTAATCATATCTGCAAATATTGTTTTTTGCCTAGTAGGGCCAGTGAAACTAGTCACTGGAACCTTTGGACATGAAGTAGCTTAAAACAGTGAAAACAACAAGATAATTAAAGTCATGGTATTTATGTCTAAATTCCAGTTGTTATAATTATCTCAGCTCTTTATTAATTCATTAAATCTTTTTTTGAATCTGTAGTTGTTATATCCTTATTAAATCACTTAATACATATGAAATTAGACTAGAAACATTGCCTGGCTTTATCAAGGAGAAAAATATTTGTTACAGCTTTTGAGAAATTGCAAATTATTGTAGAAATATTGTTGATCAATGTTAACATTTGATTTAACCATGTGACTTTTTATTATTTGTGCCTTTATTTAAGTTGACTAAACCAGACATTCTTCTGGCATTCCATATGCAAATTAATGAAGTCTTGGAACTGCAATTACTAATGTTTCTGACAGTTTATAAATTTAGTTGTTTATCAATCTAGGACATTTATTGATCTGAAACAAAATGTTTATGAGCTTTCTAAAGCAGTGAGAAAATAATTTAAGTGAATGTATGTGAAGTCTTACTAACTTTTCATTTTCTAAGAAGACACTCAAAAGCAACCAACCATCTCTTTATCAACATTATTTCATAAAATCAATTCAATTTTGATATCTTTCTCTAACTCTGTTCCCCAAATAGAAATATAATTTGGGGTTAAAGGAGAGGCTGGATAAAGTTGAAAAATTGGAATAGTTGAGTTAAATAAAACAGGAAAAAGGGGCCCATTACAACACAGAAAGAATAGTTAATTCTAAGTGACGTTTGTGGCACAGGAAAATAGCATTGTAGCACAAAGAGAATGAGTATCAGAAAAGAGAAAAGTTCCCTACTATTACATTGAGGAAGGGATCCTTTCTCACACAGGAAGCAATATGGGTGAGGCATGTATTGATTTCAGTGGCTTAGTACCTAACTGTGATTGGCAGGACAATTTAGATTCTACATAGATACGACCCCAGAAATCCAAGTAGATATGGGAGTTTGATTACACTGATGTTTTCCGTAAATTGAGGAATATTTTAAAAATTTTTCTCTAAAATAATCTTTCTCAAAATAAGATTGCATGCCATTTCCGGTTCCCTGACAGTATGCTAAAATTCTTTTTTGTTTTATTTATCATATACCTAGTATATAATTGTAACCTATCAGAGATGTATTATTTGGAGTAATTAACTCAATAGCAAAAAGTGCTGAAGTGGAAAAGAGAAAGCTTGTTACATATCTTAAACTATTAATTGATTTTATGGGAATTATTTGATCTTTTTAAAATAGAATTCTCATAATATGAGTAAACTATGCTTCACAATGAAGAGTTTAAATAATTTTCTTTGTTGAAATGAATTGAGTTACATGAATAAACTTTGAAGTTGGACTTGAAGATTTTTTTAAAGTTCTTTCTATTTCTGAAGTTCTGATAATTAGCTTTATCAGTATTTACAGTGTGCTTGCACTATACTATATAAACTTTGGACTTGAAGATTTTTTTAAAGTTCTATTTCTGAAGTTCTGATAATTAGCTTTATCAGTATTTACAGTGTGCTTGCACTATACTATTCACACAGTTCTACTTACACTGGTAAGTAGTACATTTTGCACTTGCATATTAGCCATAGACTGATCAACTGGCTTTCCTTATGACTCACAGATGTATTTTTAGCATAACATTTGGGACTTGAAGATTTTTTTAAAGTTCTATTTCTGAAGTTCTGATAATTAGCTTTATCAGTATTTACAGTGTGCTTGCACTATACTATTCACACAGTTCTACTTACACTGGTAAGTAGTACATTTTGCACTTGCATATTAGCCATAGACTGATCAACTGGCTTTCCTTATGACTCACAGATGTATTTTTAGCATAACATTTGGTATATATTTTTACTGTTTTATTTCTTTATTTTCCCCTACAAATTATAACCTAACATATATTTATGTCTTTCCAGGATCACACAGAAATATGAACCACCTACTTTATGTATCTTGTGACCACTAATACCTCGTTGACCCAGCTCATTTTGAGCTTATTCTTTTAAGGTAAATATATATATATATATATTTTTTTTTTCCCTAAAATATGATCTCTCCAATACCCTTGTACATACAAAGGTTCTGAGTAACAAAAATTCTTATTTGTTCTAAAGTTACACACATAATTTATTACTGAAAGAATTTAATATTGTAAATTTAATTCTTTCTGATGAAAGGAAAGACTTGGCAATTTTAGAAACAGTGCTTTTATACTCAAAGTAATATGCCACTTGATTAGATGCTATGTAGTCTGCAATATCGATGCATACCTTCCTCTTAAGAATGCTCACAGTTCAAAGGGGTCTTTTAGAGAAAAGGTGCAGTAATTGGCATAGAGGTATGTGGAGATATACTTCTGGTATGAAAGAATATTTTCCCACAGATAAAAGAGACTCATTGGAAAAATGTTTTGGATTAAGGCACAGATTACCCTAAGGTAAGTCGATTTACAGAGGCAGGCATTGTGAGAAGTGATTTTCCATGTGCTACAGCTTAGAATTTAAAAAGTATTGCTAGGGAGCTTAGTTTGATCAAAGGGATGCTGTTGCTTTGCATGCAATCTTCTACTACTTGGAGAGGATTTACTCAGCAGCGTTGTCACCTGGTCCCCACTGGGTTCTTGACAGATAATTACATGACCAGTATGAGACTTGCTGTGACACCCAGATCTCATCCAATTACCACACTGAGCATACTTTTCCCTTGGTGTATACTTTTATATATTCTGAAAAAGTATAGATTCTGCTAAGGAAATATTAGTATATAGGGTTTTAAATGGTTATTTGTACTAATGGTATCTCTGTTAGCTAGAAAATTTCAAGATGAGAACATCTGTGCTTGTGCCACGTGAGACAAACAAACACATACTGCTCTTCATTTATTTCCTATATCCCTTGCCTGCTTTAAAATTGATAGTATACAGGAATAAGAGGGAGCAAAATAAAGTACCTAATTAGGAGACTTTATCTGGAAAAGAGATTTGGCAAGCTACAACCCATGTGCCAAATTCGTTCCACCACCTGTTTTTGTAAAATTTCTTTGGAACAAAGCCATGCCTATTTATTTATTTTTTTTTATTGGCTATCACCATTTTTGTGCTACACTGCTAGAGTTGCATAGTTGTGAAACAGAGCATGTGGCCCACAAAACTTAAAATATTCATATCTGATTCTTTACAGAAAATATTTGTCACCTCTAGTAAATTCACTTGCTCAAGAAGCCTCTTGAAAAGATATTTACCAATTGAAATCTCTTAGGTAATTTATTGCGCACTGTAAAGGCAAATTCAGAAAGTCCATAAGCTAAATTTTCTTTTTAAAAATTAAGATGGAACTTCAAAAACTTAACAAATCTTTTTTATCATAGTGAGCACAATAAACCAATCCTGGTTAGTCCCACAGCACAATAGCTAGTCCACTGACCTAGAAAATCAGTGATAGGAACAGAAGAAAATGCAGAGAATTAATTGTAAAACTATCTGAGGCTATTGAATCAAAAAGGAAGAGATGTTGAGCTAGGATCATCAAGTTAAAGTATACAGAGATTTTTTGCAATCAGAGCTGCATTTTGTGCACGTTTCTGTTAAGTATGATCACAAATTACATTTACTTCTAAATATATTTCATGATGGAAAAACAGGAGGCATGTGTTAGCTCTGCTGGCAAAATTACCAAACTAGACAGTATTGGCCAACAATATCTCATCAGGTGGAAAACTGATCACCTCACCGTAGTTGAGAAGGAGAGTCAGAAAAGAGATGATCAATATTCCACACTTCCTCCCACACCCCCAGTGACCTAAGACCTCCTCCTAGTAGCTGACTAATAAAGTTTCCAGTCTTCCAACAGCACCACGGACCCCAGCCTTTAGTACATAAGCCTCTAGAGGACACTTCTTATCCAGACTGTAGCAGACACAGATTCATATCCAATAAAAAATAGGGTTAACAACAAATCTCGGATATTAGAGAGGAGAGGGATCAGTAGTTAGGGTTATTTATATTTTGCTATCTCTTTCTTTGCTGGGGTGTTATTTGTTATTATCATATTACAGAAAATAAATTATTTAGTTATATTAGATTTTACTTGCTGTGTAACAAAATGCAATAAACCAAGCTACTTGTGTCAAGCATCATTGTAGTATTTTTAGCTCTGAGTTATACAGATTAGAAGTTTATCCTCACATACCTGGCTGGATTTTCTAATTAGGATAACAAAAGGCTAAAGCTGTGATTTCATCTGGGTGAGTTGTTGGCTGTTGGCTTTGGGTAGAATTTACTCAGATCTTTCTTGCACCGAGCTCTGCTCTTTGTGGCTGTACCCTGGGGTCACCATCTCTGTAAGGTGTCAGCTGGGGGCTGCTCTCAGTTCCTACCTTGTGTTTGCATCCCTTGCTTTGTGGTCTCTGCATCTCAAGGCTCATGAAAAGCTTCTCAGTCTGTGCATCTTTTATTTCCTTTTGTACAATCCAGTGGAGAACATTTCTTTGTTTTTAAAGTGTTTCATCCAGTTAGGCTCACTTGGAGAGTGTCCTTATTTCCAGATATGTGCTGCATCATCTAACTTAACCATAAGAATAAAATCGATCAATTATGCAGTCTCACAGTATATGTTGGGTGCATACATCAGAGATCACAAAGTCTTGAGTATCTGAGAGTTCTGCCTACCACATCGGAAAACCAGTAAAGTGGCTAAGAAGAAGCCAAGAGCTATGATGAATCCAAATATGTGTAGCAAAAGCCCATTTCGAGGAAGCAAAAACTAAACAGAAAAGAGTTTATTTTTCTGATTGATGTCTAGACCTTTCACTTAGATCTTTATTGAGTTTAACATTTAAATTAAACCCTTTAAAGGAAGAATCTTTCTTGAATTTTTGGAATGAAAATTTCCTAGTGCAGTAATTTTAGATCTAAATCATTAACTCGCAGTAAGGCATGTAGTCCCAGGCAGATAGTTTCAAGAGATGTGTCTGCCTCTAAACTGTTATGATCAACTTTAGATATCATTTTTCTGAGACTTCATAGCTTCAAGTTTGCTTTAAATTATTGAGTGTGAAATTTTAAATATAGCAGTTTTATACTAATCATTGTATTATGGTGTATAATATCTTGAAGTATAAAGCCTGACTTCCTAATTTATATTAGGTAGCCTTTATTATTTAAAAATGTCCTAAATCTCCTGATTCAGACACTTGTTGGGTGGAATTGGACAAGAATATACTTTTTGGTTGTTTTTTTTTTTTTTTTTTTTTTTTTTTTTTTTCCTACCAGGGATAGAACTCTGGTCCTTGCCTTGCACTTGCGAGGCAGACGGCAGAACCACTGAGCCATGGGTGGATGGAAAAAAGTTTTTTTTTTGTTTTTTTTTTTTTTTTTTTTTTTTTTTTTTTTTGCTACCAGGGATAGAACTCTGGTCCTTGCCTTGCACTTGCGAGGCAGACGGCAGAACCACTGAGCCAAATCCCTGGCACAAGAATATATCTTTTGATCTAAGACTCCTTATGTAGAACATTAGAAAAGTGTTTTAGTTTCTGAAGAATAATCCAGATATGTTACAAATGTAACATATGTAGAGTTTGTGAAAACCAGAAAGCAATATTAGCTATAATTAGTTTGCTTATAATTATTTCACTTTTAGTTAATTATCTGTATTCCTTTAAAATATACTAGCGCATTTAATATCAATGCTTTAGTGATCTATCCCTTCATACTGTCCAAAAATATAAAAAATACTAGTTTACTCCATATTTTATAACTATATTTATATCTGGTGGCCTTTATTATTTAAACATGTTCTAAGTATGCAGTTAAATTTTTAATATTTATTAATTGAATATATTGTTTGAAAAGTTTGATTCATCTCTGTAGCAAAAAATCTCTTTCCTTTTCCATTTCTTCAAATAATTTAAATCTCCCCAGGTGCTGTCTGGTATTCTTAAAGTAAAGTCACTGAGGTTTTACCAAGTCCTTTGGGATTTCTATACTTTTTAGGGTGCTTTTGCATGGATGCAATATGTACCACTGAGAACTGATGGGCTATATTTTGCTATCTTGCTCATTTTTTAAAAAAATCAACTTCTTATTCTTTACTAAAAGAGTCTGGAAATGTTGAGTGAATTTGTGAAATATTTTTATTTTTCTCACCTTTTATATCTTCTTCTCTGAAAGAACATTTTCATGTACTTCTCATTTTAAGTGTTGTAACACATCCTGATAAAATGCCGCAAGACTTCATAGTCCATCATGACAGAGATAGAGCACTTCACTGCTGAGGAAGCCAGAGCTTTTTGTAAATCTTTGTGCCTTGCTTTTTAAAGGTTTCACGCACCCAGAATGCAACATTGCCTTGCTTAGTTACAACATATTGATGCGTTTCTTTTCCTGTCAGGAACTGCTGATATGGCAACTCAAGGGAGTGAATGGTGAAATGAGAATTAGATAAACCAAGCAGTCTCTTGTACAGACTTATGTGCCATATGTTCAGCACATAGGTCACAAAGCATGTTTAAAAGAAAAACTGAAAAGAAAAATGTATTTCAAGTTTATGTAAACGAATTCTTGTAAAATTAACAGAGTAAATATGAAACAGAAATCATGCATTTCTGCAGTTTTTGTGATAAATATTTTGGTACCAGTTCGTGGGCTTTGGAATTAGAAAACAAGAGTTTCTGTTTAAAATCTGGGACCATTTGGTGGTTCATAGGGTACCTGATTTGAAAGCTGAATGGTTACAGAGGGATCCAGGAAACCTGGCAAGCTCACAGCCGTTTGTTCTCAAAGGAGACCTCAGTGCCAACAAACAGTAAGTTTCTGCCATTTTGAGGGAGTTGGACTGGATGAGGAGAAGTGTGTACTCCAAATGGCTCATAGGTCAATGGCTGTTGGGAGAAAGAAGTTCAGAAATTCTAGGGGGCTTATGGGAAAGAAATTACTTTCCTGGTGATATTAAGGACTAACACACATTGGCAGAGACCCGTGACTACTGAGAAATGAAAATCTTTCATCAATA